TGCTTTGTCCGGCCGGCGGTATGGCGTGATGATCGACCTCGGGTCACGTCGGCCATCCTGTGGCGTTGAGCCACCGTCCGACTGAGATTGCGGGAGTGGTTGAAGCATTAATGAGACATGACGAGTTGTTGGGAGGGTCGGCCAAGACGGGGGGCGATGGACCGTGGACGAGCCGGCCTCGAGCGACACGGAGAATGAGGCCTCGAGCGATACGGAGAATGAGGCCTCTGCCGAGGCCTTCCCTGGATAGCCTCGGGCGAGATGGAGACGGCGTCCCCTGCCGAGGCTCGGCGCCCCCTGCCGAGGCCTACCCTGGGGAGCCTCGCGCGAGGCGGAGTTCGTTCCGAGACCTCCTGCTCGAGGCTCGAGGCGAGGTGGAGGAGGGCTCGGTCGTGGCAGGTGAGGGGCCCACGGCTTACCTTCTAGCTTTGTTTTGATGTTTGCTTGGGGTACCCCGTTCTAAGGTACCCGACAAATGCATAAATCATTAACTTTCACATCTGTTCTTACACACTAATTCTATATCATCGTTGGGCAGAAATAGAATTAATGCATAAATTATTAAAATTATCAACTTTTCTTATACACTAATTCTATATCACCGTTGGGCAGAAGTAGAATTAACGCATAAATCATTAAAATTATCAACTTTTCTTATACACTAATTCTACATCACCGTTGGGCAGAAGTAGAATTAATGCATAAATCATTAAAATTATCAACTTTTCTTATACACTAATTCTACATCACCGTTGGGCAGAAGTAGAATTAATGCATAAATCATTATAATTATGATATTGTTATTAACAACGTTGGTCAGAAAATAACAACATCATAATCATATCAAAACTCTTTTTCTCCAATTAAATACCACATTGGTTCAAAATAACTGGAGAATCAACAACTTTTCTTTGGCTGTGGAAAAACTCTCTTTTCCTTGAATTTTACCCACAGGGAAAATTGCTTTTTCTATTTTCTTTAATCCATTAATCAATTTCCAGGAAATAAAGATTTACTGGAAAAACTTTTCTTTTCTCCAGTTAAATATCATGTCTGTTCAAAATTATTGGAGAATATACTTTTTCTTTAGCAGCGGAAAAAATCTCTTTTTCTCCAATTAAATACCACGTTGGTACAAATTAACTGGAGAATAAACATTTTCTCTTTAGCAGCGGAAAATAATTCAATTTAATGAATTTTGCCCACAGGACAAATCTCTTTTCTATTTTCTTTAAGCCATTTATTCATTTTCCAGAAATAAATGTTTGCTGGAAAAAGAAAAAAAAAAACTCTGAATCATTTCAATTACATTCACTCGGCCCAAATTGTTAAAGCGGCCCGCCCACTCCAAAGACGCCAAGACAGTCCCACGCTTCGCTTCGCACCTGAGCCACAACCAGGCTCAGGCGGAAAGTGGGCCGGCGCCCCCACCCCGAAGCTGAGTTTGGCCCAATCACGCTCCGCCGTCGGATCACATCCGACGGTCGCCCGGCCGTTTCGCTCGGATAAAACCCCGACGCCGCGCGCCCCATCGAAAACCCTAGGTCATTTTCATTCTCTGCTCTCTCTCTCTCTCTTCTTTGCCGCTCTCTCCTCTCTCTACCTCATCTCTTCTCAGCCGAGCACAACCGAAGCGAAGCGAGAGCGAAGCGAGCGGCGTCCATGGCATCACCATCCCCCTCGCCGGCGTCTTGCGCTCCCAGTGGTGAGCTGCTTGTCATCGTCAGCGGCCCGGCCATGATGACCCTTTGTGAGCCCGGCGAACAGCCCACCCCCGGCTCGGTCTTCTTCTCCCTCGCCGGGTGATTAGGGTTTGGATTCTTCTTTTCTTTTCTCTGATTTGCTTTTGTGATCTTTCTTACTTTTTCCGGAGTTCACCCGAATAGATCTAGGGTTAGGGTTCTCGCCCCGACCCCTGTTCTTCTTCTTTCTTTTTTGTTTTCCTTTCTTTCTTCTCGGATTGAATCGATTAATGATGGGGATTCGTTCTAGGGTTAGGGTTTCGCTTTTCAATTGATTTCTTTTTCTTTTCTTTGATTTAGGGTTCGGCTCTATTCATCTTAAGGCCGAAACCTTTTCTTTTCTTCTTTCCCGAGCTATTTGCGCGGGTTAGGGTTAGGTTCTTGAGATCCTTTCCCCTTTCTGTTCACTATTGTTTCACCCGATTAGGGTTAGGGTTGGAATTCTTAAGATCCTTTTTCTCTTTCTATTCTCTGATCCAAATAAGGATCTGTTCTTTTCTTGTTGCGCGCCGGTGAGGACGGCAATGCTCTTCTTCCCCCGTGCGGTGGCGGTGGTGACCGGGTTCCAGTGACATCTGCCACCCCCGGTCCCTTTTCTTTGCTTTTACCTGGTTAGGGTTAGGGTTACACATAGGCAACCTGGCTCCGATACCATTGTTAGGATCGTAGGATTGATACCTCTGTGTGACCCGTAGATCTGGGTAGACTCCTTGCCTTCTCTCTGGAGATGCACCGTAGCGGGTAGACGCCGGTGCCGCAGTGTAGAAGACGCGTCAGCCAGCGTGGCGGTGAAGTCCATGTGTTGGTGGTGGAGAGACAGGTGGTCCGGTGGTGACCTGCGGTGGGTCGACGGCGGTGGTTGGGGCTCATCCGTCATTGGGCAAAGACGGCCTTTTAGATCGGATTAGGGTTACTGTTGGTGGGATGGCGGCTCACGGCGAACCTCGTAGTCCGAGCCCTCACCCCCACCTTCCTTTTATGTGTGCTGTGCGACAAGGGCCCACCAACCGAATTAGGGTTGGGCTCCCCCGATCAGGGAGCAGAGATAAGGGCCCAATAGGCCGTTGGACCTATTGGTGGAGATCAACTAACAACAACCAGTTTCTTTCGTTCGTTTCGCTGGCTTCATTATCCATCATTTGAGCAGGTACTGTTTAAAACTATACATGCCGAAAACCTGCTTAAGGTTAGTTTGAATCCATTAGTTACTACGCAATAGCTAGGGCATGTTTGGATTCATAGACTAACAACTAGTTTCTAAAAACAAAAGACTAATGGATAGGCTAAACTTTAGCCAGAGCTCTAACTAATTGTTAGCTCTCTCGTCCATAGAACAAAGGAGCTAAAATTTCACTCGATTGGAAAAAAACACCGATACCCTCTCCCCACGCCGACCTGTTAGCTCGGTTCCCCCTCCCTTCCGCATCCTTCCATCGCTTTGTGGCCGGCCTCCGCCGCATGGTGTACCACAGCTCCATTGCGCCCGTGGCGGCCTTTCGCCATGACCACTCGACGAAGACTCCCTCACGAAGCGAGCTCCATCACATGCGATCCGGAGGAGGACTACGCGCGTGCGCGCGGCGCTCCGGGGACAAGCTCCGCGTGCTACGGGAAGACGACCGGTCCGAGGTGTCTGGCGTGAACGCGCGTTTCTTGCCAGCGGTCAAGGACGGGGACTTCGTGGCGATCTTGCGCCGAGCCGCGACCATGTCTCGTGGTGCACCCCCGCTGGCGAGGCGGATCTCCGCACGAGATAGTGATGCAAAGCTGGGAACTTGAAGATCCCCCACCACCGGGCTAGCAGCGCTCTTCTCCGTTTACCGACGTTGAAGATCCGGGAGAACATAGGAGAAGACGAACTTAGGGGCATAACTATCTTTGAATTGAGATAGTACTACTTAGACAATGGATTCAAACAGGATTGGACTAGTTACTAGTTAGCTAATCACTAGTACTAAACTACTAATCACTAGTTCTAGCTAATCACTGGTCCTAGTTTATCAAACAGGACCTTAGCTAGCTAATAGCTCGTAGCTAATACTAGCAAGCTAACTATTAACTGCTACTAGTTGCATTGGTTTGGCCCAACTAATAAGATAAGTCCTGTTCGGTTGGCTGGTTTGTGTCATTGCTGGTTCATATCGTTGTTGGTTCGTTTATGTGAGAGAGAAATACTGCTGGCTGGTTCGCGTGAATAGTAGCCATGTAAGGGGGCTGGCCAGCCAGCCCAGCCAGCCCCAGCCCAACGATCAGGCTGATAGTTGTTAGTTGAATATCCTGATAACTATTAGCTAGACCCATTCTAAGGATTGTTTGGATCCATTAGCTGCTAATAGGTCACAGATAATATTATCTACTATTAGCTAGTTTGGTCCAAATAGTAAAATAGTTTTAGTTGGGTGCTCAGCTAAGAATTACCTAAACTATTAGCTACATCGAACGAGTTATTAGTAGCCAGCTATTATCTCCTTGATCCAAATAGTGCCTAAATAAGCTAACTAGTAGCTTATGGATCAAACAGAGACCAAGTGATCAAGTGATCAGATTGGCTTTAAGTAAGATGTACAAAAACTTAAAATTATTCAACTCTTTGGAAAACGAGATTTGTTAAAAAAAAAGTTAGAACAGAGGGTCTCATATTCGAGGACACGGAATTTTCCCAAAAAGAAAAAGGAAAAAGTTCAAGATACGGATTCAGATCCCGGAAAGATCGTCTCATCTCTTTTGATTTTCGGAAGTGTGGTCGCCACAGGGACAAGCATCCACATCGTTCGGAAGTGTGCTATGCTCTGGTCTGCTCTGCACGAATTGGTCAGTTTCGGAGCAATGGAATGGAACAGCAGGCAGAGAGCTTCAGAATCCGGACCACACATGCACGCACCAGAGCAGACTAACCAAAACCACTCTTCTTGTGTCACTCATTCCACTTCTTCTTATTCGGATTCAAGAAGGAATGCAATTGCATACAATTTCGCACCCTAAAGGAAATGTTCAGAAAACCCCCCAAAAAAACAACAAACCAAGAAACATGTGTACGTTTGCTCCTGTCTGATTCTGATTCTGATTCTGATTCTGATTCTTCATTCTTGTGCGTAATAATTGAAACGAACGAACAGAACCGAACCGGAAAAAGAAGAAGAAAACAAATTCGACCCGCAAGCTCCTCCGATTCTGATCCCCCGGTCGGTTTCCGTTTCGGCCTTCCGGGGGAATGGGAATCTGAGCTGAGGTCGATCTCGACGCCTTAACTCTCTGCTGCTACCTGCTGGCCTGCCCTGCTGGAACTCTCTCGACTGAGCTGGAGAACGCCGCGCAGAGCACCGCCAGCGCCAGCGCCGAGAGCTTCCCGGCGACGAGGCCCGCGAGGATGATCGGCACGAGCGCGGGCAACGGCAATGCGGCCCCGCGTTGACGGTGCCACCGCTCGCCGTCGTCAGTGACGGTGGTCGCCTCCGGTGGCGCCGCTGGCGTCCCCTCGGCGGGAGCAGCATCTGCTGCTGCTGCTGGCTCGGCGTTGGACTCGCCAGCGCCCGGCTTCTCGTGCCGACAGTCCTTGCCCCGGGGCGTCATGCCGTTCCGCAACTTGTTGGCGAGTAGCTTCCGCAGCGACCTCCTGCTCTGTTTCCGCTTCGGGTTATTCACCGACGACGACGAGTCGTCGCAGCCGAGGTCGCTGCTGTCGGCGTCGGCGGACCAGAATGAGGCGGCGTCGCTGCCTCCGTTGTCAGACTCGCACTCGCACGGCCTCGGCGACTCCGCCGCCTCCCGTATCGGCGAGACGCATCCGCGCCCGCGGCGCGAATCCACTTCTTTCTTCGTCTCCGGCCGCCGAGCACGCATGGTCCTGGCGGACTCGATCCAGGACAGCGCCACCGACGCGAGCGTGGCCGCGGCCACCAGCTGCTTGCTCCAGATCACCAGCAGCGCCAGCGCCAGCGCCACGGCGCCGCCGGCCGCGAGGAGCCCCGGCCGGATGCTGAAGCCCGCGCCTTTGCCGGGGCCGGTCGGCACCGGTGCTCCTGCCGCTGCCGCTGCCGATGCCGCCGCCGCCGCCGCGGCGTCGTGATCCACCAAAAGCTCGGGCCTTTGCTGGGTCTCCGCGGAAGCGGCGGCCGGCGGGACGGCGGCGCCGGGGGCGCGGTGCCGCCTCCTGGGGTTCCTGAGGCGGCCGTGGTTCTTGACGACGATATCAGCGAGGGAGGTCGGGAAGCCGGTCTGGACCGGGAGCGGCCCAGCGCGCTCGGGCGGGCGCAGGGACGCCAGGAGCCGGCCCAGGCGGCCGCCGCCGCCGGACGGGCGCTTCAGCGGGCTCGTTGGCATCGCCGGCGCCAGCCAACGCCGGCGATCATCTATAGGAGGCGTGGCGTGACGCGGCGAGGCTTTGCGCGTCCGCGTTTCTGGTGGAACAGAAGAAGGAAAGCGGCGAGGAAATTGAGGTGGTGGATTTGGAGGTTTCGGTTTGCTGTTTGCATTGGGTGTCCTGTTTTAAGGTGTCCGTTTCTTGGTTGATTCTGCTTGGAGTTTATGACAGCCGGTGATGAAACCAAGGTGATCCTTTTTTTTTTCAAATACAAATGCTTTGTCTTTTTTTTTAAGAAAAAAATGCCTTTTGATTTGAAGTAGTACTCGAAAAGAATGGAGGATGTTATTGTTATGATAAAGGTGAGATTTGAAGACTTTTCTGCGGAAATTTTGGGTCAAAAGTACAGTTTTTGCAAAGATTAATAATGTGTATATGAATCTAAAATGACTAAATACTTTTCATCTATTTTGGTTGGGTCAAAATGCTAGGTTGTGGTTGGGGTGCTTGGTTAAATCACATTCGTATAATCAATTGGTGTGGCTAAATTGCGTGCCAGAGATAGGTAGCTTGAAAGGTGCTTTTGCAGTAGAAATGTTACTTTCGGCATTAATAAGGATAAACGATCCCTGGGGAAACTGATCATAATTACTGAAAAGGATACATATCTCTCCAAGTTGTAGCATTGCTTATTTATTAAAAACATGTGGTTAGCGGGTAGTATATATGAATCATATTTTCATGCCAAGCACGCATCAAGCATTAATAAAAACAATTCTCCTAGATAAAGTTACTACATGCTCCCTCCATCTCTTTTAACTGTCGTTCTAATAACTTTGACTAAATCTATAAAAAATATTAATATTTATAATACACAATTAATATAATTAGATAGACCATTCAATCTATTTTCATGATAAATTTATTTGAAAATACAAATATTGCTAACATTTTCAACAAATCTAGTTAAACTATCGGTATGTAAACCAACAACGACAAATATTTTTGGACTCTCCGAGCATTGTTTTTAGATTTTACACAGATTTTACAGAGAGAAAGAGAATCAATCATCGCTCTGTTCGTTTGGACTTGTTTGGCTTATAAGCCGTACTTTTTCAGCCAACAAATAGTACTTTTCTTTTACACCAAATCAGCCAACAATATTTTCAGCCATAATTTATCAGCCAAACAAGCCAAAACGAACAGGACGCATGTCAACAACTCGTGAGTTCGTGGTCTTCGTTGGTTATGTGTCTTGTTGACCAAAGATGTGACTTGTAACTAAGGACTGACATGCCCAAAAACACTCTGCGTCTACTTTAGTTAGGTCCACTCAGGAGGAAAAGGGGCAATGAAAGCAGTTTGCTTTAGCCTGTGCTTTGATATATTCAGGCTGTTCGGCTGGGACTGAAACGATCGTATACGATCGTGGATTATTACTGCTGGCTGATTTGGTGTAAGAGAAAAATACTATTCTGGTTAAAAATTTATGATCGTTTACGACCAAACGAACAGACTGATTCTCTCTGTCCTAGAGGATTATAATTCCAGATTTAGAATAAGTCAAAACTTTTTAAGTTTGATTATTGAATTAATAGAAAACAATATCAACATTTAGGTCTGCAAATAGGTTTGTTATAAAATTCCATAATTAATCCAGTGATATTTATCTGATATCATTGATGTTAATATTTTTTTGTATAGATTTGGACAAACTTAAAATTGTTGAACTCCTTAAAAAGAGGGGTTTTTTTTTTGAACGGAGGGAGTATGAAGCTAGTGGCAGAACATGGTTTAAGGCTAGCACCATCCTCTGACTTGGTAGGCATACTCAAATACGCAATTTCATAATGCAAATCAAAGTTCGATGAACTAATGAAGAAGAACATCTGTTTTTAGATGTTTGATTTTGAGCTCAGTTTTCAGCATTGTCGTGAGAGGTCCGTGCATGGCACTTAAGTTTCTGTGAAAAACAAAGGCAACGACAATATTTAAACCAAAAAGCATGCATGATCATATTTGAGTTTTTGTGAGACATTGGAACGAAATTTAGCTAGGGAAGCTAGCTGCTAGAGGTGCTCTAACCTAGCTGCCTCAGTTATTCCCTTTACACAAGATACAAATACTGAAAAGTCTTGCACTTGTGAGCTAGGACCGGAACACATCTACCTTCTATGCACTAGTCTGAGAGTAGTTAAACAACCGCCAGTGTGTTGGTGCTTGGTGGGTGTTTGGCGTGTGGACAAGTGCTACTGAATTCATAAAAGAGAAGAGGAAGGAACCATCGAACTCTTCTGAATGGCATGATAATTCTAAAATATTGCTAGATCAAATAATCTAAAGTAATTTATATAGAAATATACCCATATATATTTATCACACTAAATAAATTTTATTAGATTCTTAACGATATAATATATCTATTTAGATTCATACGTGTTAATGGTTTGACTTTTAACTAGACCTAGAATTGCATCTTCTTGAGACAGAGGTAGCAAGTATTATGTCTTGGTGAGAAATTAACCTCTAGGCTGAGGCTCATTTTCTTTTTAACGTTTTTTTGTATCTTGGATTCTTTCTTTTTTAACCTCCTCTTTGCTCTCAGTTTCCTCAGGTTTTCCTGTTTCTGTTGTAAGAGTGTTCTTCCTTGTTCTTTTTTTTAACTGTAGGTGTGAGCCCTCCAGATTCTAAAAAAAAAAACAGAATGAAAAGTGACCTCATGCTGCCCATTTTGCGTGACCTTCTCCTCAGGCCGACCATGCGGATCACAAATTCGCAATACACAACAGTGCTTATATACGAGAGGTGCGTGTTTCTTTTTTTAATAGAAAAAGAAAATGAAGAAAAAGGTTGCTCGAGCATCCAGCTTGCAGCAACCCAACAATTGGCGTCTCGTCTCGTCTGCCAACCTGATTGCAATTGGCAACTGCAGCTGGAGAGCAACAGATCGAGAGGTGTGGCCGGCCAAGGCCTGCGCGTTGTCAGGTCACACCCAGTGTCAGCAGCCTCGTGTGCCCTCCTAGTCCTTCCTTTGAAACAAGTAGTGTCGGTGTCTCAGCTTTGTTGTATCTTGCATGCTGGTGCTATGAAAGAACAGATTGATCTATCTAACCTGGTTAAGTGGTTTTTTTCCACCACGGCAAAGTAGAATTTCATTACTAAACAGCAATGAAATTACAGAGTTCGAAACTGGTAAACTCAAACAAAGACGCACCACAAAAACCAACTTGGAATGAACACAGAGGGTTCATCCAAATGGCGCCACCAGAATTACTACCCATAACCGCCTTACTCCGCTACGCTAAGCGTTCAAACGTCAGGAAAAGCGTTAAGATCGGCACAACTTTCAACAGATTATTACATGCCCATATGGTGCTTTCAACAGCTCACAGGTTGGATGCAAAATTCAGAAGAAGCCTTTCCAACGTCACGACCATCTTTGCCCCTTTTACACGATTGCCATCCTGTTGTCCCCTCCGTCCATTCTTTCCCTCTGATGAAAGTGCAGCGCCGCCTTCTTGAGAACTTCTGCGCCTCACTCCAGCTGTGTCGAGATCACGTCCTTTTGAAGACCTGTCCAATATGTTAATGTAGAACAAATCAGGCATATGATTTCGGTTGGCGACTTTATTCTTTTTCCTTCAAAGCACACATTGTTTCATGTCTTCCAAATTGCCCAGCAGATGGCAGCAAGTCCAACAAAATGGACCTGTCTGCCTCTTGGCAGACTCCAGTTAATCCAAATCCAGAATTGATAGAAAGATGTTGGTCTTACTTTTACCCCAAAGCTGTAAGCCAAAATGCTCCAAACATATTTGATTACAGGACAATCAAAGAACAAGTGTTTGACTGATTCTTCCTCTTGGCAAAAGGCACAAGCAGGACTCCCCTTCCATTTCCTTTTAAGCAGGTTGTCTTTGGTCAGAATAGAATTCTGTAGAGTTAACCACATGAAAATCTTGACTTTAAGTGGGATTTTAGCTTTCCAAAGTTGTTTACTGTCAACATCTTCACTGTTCCTGAACATATGCTTGTAAATCGATTTAACAGAGAACAAACCAGATTTTTCCAACTTCCAAATCACTCCATCAGGTTTGTCATTAGATCTATATCTGAATAACATATTACATAGATCTCTGAGCTGATTCTGTAAATCTTCAGAAAACCATCTCTTGAAACATAATCTCCAATTTCGATTTCACATGGAGTATACTGAACAATCCTGGTCAAAGCATATGTTATAAAGATTAGGAAACCTATCCTTCAGGGATAAAGGTCCACACCACACATCATGCCAAAAGTCAATGTTCTTACCGTTACCCAACCTCAAGATTCTTCCTCTTAAGTAAATGTGCTTCACTTTAATCAAGTCATTCTACACAGGGGAATTGGATGGTTTGTGTTTAATTTGATATACCCATTTATTCTTCATATATTTCTGTCTTACAATCTCTTGCCAGATTCCATTTTCATGCTCCAGTTTCCACCACCACTTGCATAACAGACTTTTATTCATTTTCCTTGAGTCTTTTATTCCTAAACCCCCTTTCTTTTTCGGCTTGGTTAAAATTTTCCACTTCACTAAGTGATATTTTCTTTTAGTCCCCCCTCCCTGCCAGAAAAATCTTTTCCTGGCCTTATCCATCTTCTCAATCACAGTTATAGGGAGGAGATACATAGACATAGCATAAGTGGGCATACTATTGAGACAAGAGTTAAGCAGGATGGTTCTCCCACCAATAGATAGAGAACTACCTTGCCAACCATCCAGTCGTTTCATGATTTTTTCAATTAGTGGCAACCAGTCAGTAATATGTAATCTGGAGCCAGCTACAGGGACTCCAAGGTATTTAATAGGCCATTTTCCTGTGGAACAATTGAAAGTTTCAGCATACTCCACAACCTTTGCCATATCATGACTAACCATAATAGCTTCACTTTGCTAAAATTGATCTTAAGTCCAGACATTGATTCATATAGATACAATAAAAATTTCAGATTAGTAGCCTGTTCTTTATTG